TAAAAAGAAATTAAAAATATTTTTGCGTCTGTTCTGGTGCGATTGTTCTTATCGACGTGGCTCTTCAGGGATTAAGCCGAAAACAATACAAGATCATTCTTAGCATTATTAAGAATATGAAAATATGTGAAACACCACTGTATTGAGTATATACATTATAATATATATGCATACACGTATAAAAGAGGCTCTTCTCGGACATGACGAGTGTCCCTTTAATCATTAATTCTAAGATTAAATTGATGTAATTAGATTTGCAATTAAATGTTAGTAATAATGTAGGATGTGATACATGTTTACCATTTGAATAAATTACAGTATATAAGTAATATCTTTTTATCCGTGACTATATCGAATGATCACATCAAGTGATCACGAGTATATACATTGTATGTTTCTTTGATTTTCATGCAATGTTTTGGTTTCATATGAAAATTAACCGCTTCTAACACGAAGATTTTTCCGTTATTATATATTTTTTCTTTTACTAACTTTCAATTGATGGTATCACACGTGTTTGAAGAACATTGACGTTTCGAAGCGGTTCTTGGAACAATTTCCATAATAACGTCTACTCTGATTCTCTTTCTTGTGCACTTAAGTTAAGATCATTTTACAAAAAAAAAAGAAAAAAGAGAAAAAAAAAAGAAATCGTTTCGACGAGGGAAGTTCGATGAGTGCGCTTCCGTTTCCCAGGGCGGTCGTGCGAGTCTCACAAGTGACGTGTGACGAAGTCGTGGACGACCGAAAGGTTGCCAATTTGTTTTAGAGCCAATCATACGAGTTTGACTTTGCTAGTAATGAGAAATCGTCAAGTTTCTCTTTCTTGTGGTAAGAGGTGAGAAAATAGTTCTACTTGCAGACTTTCTCCCGACTTTGAAGATTCGTAAATATTTTTCTAGAAGTAGCGCAAAGTTAAATGTTGAAACAAATCATATGGCAAACTACATTAATTTAATTATATAAACGCGATAAATCAATATATAAGTAATTGAAAAATTTGTCGTACGATTTCTTTTGTAAATTAGGAAGGGAAACAAACTCCTATCATTGGCTTATTCATAAAAACGAAGTTTTGGGTGCGTGGGAAATTACGTACCGCATAGCTAACTAGCTAAGCACCCATATCATACTGTATATGTAATTAGACTATCGATAGTTCTAATATTACAATCATACATTGCACACGTAGTGTCATTTGAATTTTTCTTCCATAATATGAATAATGGCAATTGATATTCCTCATGCGGTGCACAAAGAATGTATGAAATTATACGTACTATTTATAGTAAAATATATATATATATATATAT